CTACTACTACTACTACTACGCTGCTAAGCCCAGCCAGCAGGCGGCGAGGCGCCGGGTTTCTTCGTTTAGAAGTTACAGTAAGGGGGTCCACGGAAAACTCCGTTTAAAACCTAAAACAGCCCTCCTCCTTCTTCTTCACATTTCTTGACCTCGAGCAAAGAGCCAGTGTGCATGGGAGAAAACGGATCTTGTCCTTGGGACNNCTCCCAAGGACCCGAGGGGCACGAGGCCCGACTCGGTTCCGGGGAACCCCCTCGAGCCACAGCTCGGACGGACACAGATCAGAGGAGGAACAGCCTCCAGCAAACACTAGGTTGTTATTCTGCGCACGCTGCATAACAACCGGTCGTGTTCGGGTGCTCCCACCCTGCCGCCGGGCACGCTCATATGCTCATCCTTTATCTTCCGAGGTGGCTGGTACCGGGCTTTCTCGAAGGCCCCACCTGTCTTCTCCTCGCCTCCTACTTCTTTCCTTCTTCTTCCTCTTCCTACCTCTCGAAACCTTGGCGCACGAAGGGGACACGGGCAATCCTACCGCCACCTCCCCCCCGAAGGTCCTGGGTCAACCCAGGGGCCAAGCCAAGAGGGGGGTTACAGTAGGGCAGCAGGGGGTTTCAGAAAAAAACCAACTTTGGCCCAAAACAGCCCTCCGTTGTCTTCTTCTTGACATTTCTTGACCTTGAGCAAAGAGCCCGGGTTGGGTGGTTGGGAGAAAACGGATCTGGTTCGCGTGCCTCCACCCTGCCGCCCGGCACGCTCATGTTTCTTTTCTTCCGAGGTGGCTGGTCCCGGGCTTTGCCCGATGGGTTGCCCATCCCCGGGTCCTCGCAGAGGACGGGGGTTGGGGCTTACTTCAACATCTAACTTTGACTTAGACAAGATGTTGACGCGCAAGACCAGCGACTGCCGGAGGGATGTTCCCGAGAATCCGAAGACCTGGGACACCCCCCGAAGCCGAATCCACGCATCCCCAAACGCAAGTGCCCCAGCCATTGTGGTGATGCCATTGAGCTGCTCCGCACTCGGCAGGTCGGAAGCCATGGCTCGAGAAAAAAGGACCTTGTCGTTGGGACTCCAAGAGGGGCACGAGGCCCGACTGGGTTCCGGGGAACGCCCTCGCGCCACAGCTCGGACGGACACAGATCAGAGGAGGAACCCAGCCTCCAGCAAACACTAGGTTGTTATTATTAGCACTTCGTGCAATGCATAATACGACGACGACGACAACTGCTACTGCTGCTGCTGTTGGCTCCACCAAACTGGGGTGTGAACTACCTGAAGGAGATATTGCGTGACATATAGCTGTCCCGTCCAAGCCTGCTCGGTTGGCCCCGCCGGCTCCTCCGGCGGCGGCCCCTCCGGCGGCGGCCAGGGTCTGCCTTCCTCGCGGCATCTCCCCACAGCTTTGCGGGACCCGTTTGCAAGGGGCACCCCAGTCCGGAACTTCGGGCTCGAAATCGAAGTCGTACAGGATGCCACCCTTGCCTGCGCTGATTCCCTCACATAGCGACATAGCGTTCTCCTCATCCCGTCCCGTCCCGTCCCGGCCGGCCTCTGCCCTTTACAATTCCTTTTCCCTTCGGAACGGCTTTGGGCTTCGACATGGCCTTTTGACTCCTCTCACACGAGGGGAGCAACATCTGGCTGAGTGCGGCTGCGGCCCGGCGGCCTGCGTGCGGAGCCCGCGTTCGGATCCTACATGCCTGGCACCCCTCCAAGGCACCTTGCAGCACTTGGGCCTTGAGCCGGCTGCGGATACGCCATGAGACTTCCGACAACTACACAACCATGAGGCTAGCCGGAAAGTCAGAGGTACAGTGCCAGGGTGCCGTCACAGATGTCAGCCGGGGCAGACATGAGCCGCTGGATGTTCTCCGAACTGCCTCGGAACATGACTCGTATACCACCAAAACGAAACAAATGGCATTGGCGTCCCCAGATCCGTCCTGCACAAACAGACCGGCTTGAGGCGACTGGATATAGTTGCCTGAGCCGTTCTCTGGCGGTAGGTGCTTCGACTTCTCAATCACCGCATCGAGGAACTCACCCGTCAAGAAGACTGGCTTGCTGTACCAGCACCGAAACAAACAAAACACTGCCCCACGAATTAAGACATGGCCGCATTCTGCAACTCAACCCAAGACTGACTGGCCGCGGAGCTCATGGCCTTCGAAGCTCTCAACATCTCTCAACCACGATGGTCCCAAGAAGACTGGTCTGACTTCAACAGGAGCTACATGCCGCCGCTGTGAACCGCGCATCTACGCAGGGGGTTTCGGTTGGTTTGGGTTCTCGCATGCGCTTTCGGGGCGAGCGATGGTGCAGCCATGAGGCCGGTCCAGGTCTGGAAGCTCAGCCAGGCATGCGGCCCAAGCCTCCCATCTCGCATGCTTAAGGACTCAAGGGCTCCTCAAGATTCTCCGGGAACTCTCCTCTGCAAGGTCGTGTCGGTGGCCTGGCAGCGAGCCGACGCTCTGTAGGGAGGCTCCAATGCTAAACAAACAACCAAGCAGGTGGGCTTCGACCCATACACTTACCCCGCTATTCGTGCATCCCTGATTCACTAACACGGCCAGCGGCCCGGTATGGATCTGACAGCTGCCGCCCAGTGAAGGAGACGCTCACAGCAAACACCTGTCCGGTGCCAGGTCCATCTGTGACACCTGCGGACTGAAGAGGCCCAACACCGCCAGGCCTCCTCTGCTGTTGGAGGCTTGGCACCCGGGGCTCGTTTTCGCAAGGAGTCGCCTGCGCTCCCCGGCTTGCATCCATTTACCCTGCCGCCCCTCAGATCCTGTATGCAGTCGCCATGTCGCCATGTCCGATCTTCCCGCTCGGCATAATTCAGCATGGGATGAAATTCCTACTGGCCCGACGCCCGACAGACTGCCGTCACTTTGCCGTGTCTGAGATATGTTCAAGTTTCAGTGCTGACCGCTTGCGTGACACCAGTCCGACGGCACCGGGTTCTTCCGACTGGACATCCAACTCACCCAAAGATGCCACGTCTATGACTGACCGAATCGAATTAACCGGCCGCCACTTGAACTCTGCAAGTGACCCGGCGCAGCAAGCTGATACAATCTGCAGAGGAAACGCTCAGCTGAGATGATGCTTCAGGAACTGGTGCAACCTTAGACACAGAGGAGAGCGCAGTGCCGCAGTGCCCAGCCAGAAAGAACGAATTTATTACGACTGCCTGCGAGCGAGCAGCTGAAAGATGGTAAAGGTCTCATCAGGACAGAGCTGCTTCAGCTTGCTATCTGCTGTGATGAACCGCCCCTTCTGCAGGCCCTTGGCTTTTATCACAAATGGCTTTAGGGTGACCGGGTGACCGCACGAAAAGACGTCGGCTTTCTTCCCAGCGGCTCTTTCCTTGATGTAACGCCACATCAACTTGGAGGCCTCTGTGTGTGTGACACGCTTCTTGCCGATCAACTGCGCAAGCTGCCTCGCAACACGGCTGCATGCAAAAGCTGCCTAAGGCTTGAGGACTTAAGGCCTCTGCCCGCCACAAGGTACGAGTGCCGGTACTCTAAACACCCTTCTTGTGCCAGGCTGCGGGCTGGCTTCCTTTTCTGCGAAAAGGCCTTTGCCCAGTCTCTTCATCTCAAAAGCCTCTGAGTCGCTTGTGAAAAGTATACGGGCCAGACGGAAGCTAGAGTCTATTGGCAAGAAATTACGCTTTAAAAGAACCCTTCAGTAGCATGCGACGTTGCGCCAGCAATTGCAGGTTCGCCTCATACCAGCTTTCAATCTGAACAACATCTGCCAATATCTACGATGCAAAGCCGTCGAAGCAAAATGCATTGGTCACGGCCCGCCGCTTGTCCCGCCCGTCCTTGGCACTGCCTGCCGCCTTTCTTGCCGCTGTCTTCGCCTTTCTGCGAGGCTTTTGTTGGACCTGCGACCGGATGAATAACCTCCTCCGGAAATCTCCGGAATACCACTGCCACAGAAGCAGTGCATCACCCAGTGCAAGCTGACCTCATCGCCGGCAGTAGCTTCTTCGGCTTCGGCCTGAGCATCCTCCTGAAGCGGCCTTGCAGCATTTGGGCATCGGCATCTGCGGCACAACCGCAGGAAATCGCGTCGCCGACATGTTCGAGAGGACTTATCGAAGCTGCATCTCTGTCTCCTCTTTGTTCGGGCGCACCAATCTTCATCGTTTCTACCCCGCTTCAGGCGGGCTCGAAGCGAGGCCATGCGAAGAGTGCATTAAATTAGGGAAATCTGTTGGTGTCGTGAGAAACACAACTGCAGCAGCGTGCTTTTGTTGCCTCGCTGCACTGGAAAGGCTTTTGCTTCACTGCAGGAAATTTCTTAAAGTAACAGATAGAGCTCGCGAGCCTTCGACCAGAAAGGCTCGGGCTGTAGGCGCGGGCCAAGGCCGGCGCGGCTATCAACGCACGCCCACCTGGATATGGACTCATCTGAGGATGCCAGACTCCTCATCATCAGAAATCGAATCCTCAGCGACCGCCTTCTTCTCACAATAGTGGCAGTAGAAGCCTTGCTGGTCGTAGCCACACTGTGAGTTCATGTCTTTCTTCATCTCCTCCACGGTCTTGCTGCCGGCTCTCCCGAGGTATAGCCTCTTGAGGCCCACGCAGCAAAACCAATACTCCAAACAACCCCAGAGAGCCGCCAGAATCGGACCGCAAACCGTCCTTGCCATGAACAAGGTGTGTCTGTTCCCTGGTATCACACCGACACTGAACCTTGCAAACTCGGGCAACTGATGAGTGCAACCGCGTTGCCCCTCATCGTAAATAGGGATTGCCACCGTACGGATGTTCGTTTCGCAATCCACGACCTGAAGCCAACGATAACGATGCCGTGTCAGCACCTACTTCTTCGCAGCGGAAGGCCATGTCATGTCTCAGGGCGGAGCTTGAACCCCCTTCCAGAAATTGACGAAATCCTCCCACTGCATCCAGAATGATCCATCATCCTTGGGCTCATCGGAGCCCAGGAGCTGCCTCTTCACACCTAAGCCGCTCCTCTGGGGCTCCGAAAAGACCTGCAGCTCTGAGGCTCGGGCTGGGGTATTGGCTCCAAAGCCTGTCATTGTCTGACCACGCCTCGGCTCTATGTCCGGCTCTGCCTCCGCTGGACTTTGCAGACCTAGCCGAGTCCCCAGCTCCCCGCCACTCTCCCTGGCCGTGTGGGTTCCGGATCTGCACCATGCGGAAATAATTCCCGGACCTCAGGTCTTCCCGCAGGCTCGGGAAAGAAACACCCATAAGCCAGCGAGGACTTGCCGTTCCGATTGATGCTCGCTTCCATCTTCGGGATTCCTTTGCAACAGACTATCTCTGAAGTGTACGGCATTTAACCTGCCCGCACAATTCAGAGGACACCAACCTGTGAATAAACTGATTTCGGCAAGTACGTTTCCACGGCCAACAGCATGAGTCTTCAGTGGCCCAGGCCATCAGGTCGCCCCCTGAGTCCAGTGCAAATGCGACTTTAGATCATGTCCTCAAACCCCTGGTATGGTCATGCGAAGTCAGCGCTGGGGCATGCGGAGCAGTTACGCGTGCAGCTTCGTCCCAAGAGGGCAGCGCGCATGTGTGCCGGCCCGCAATGCCATCCGAACGCTACATCCGCGACAACGTGCCTCTATGCCTGAGAGCGGGTTCCTTTCCGCGACTGCGCGCCCCTTGCTGTGCGACGCCGAAGTAAAGCCCGCAGGCGCTGCAGTGCTGTGATGAAGTGCATCCGCTAAGCCTGCTAAGTCCGAGACATGTCTGGCTGTACTGTAGCCAACTGGAGCACCGAATACCTCACATATACAATATCACACCACACGCTGCATATAACTCCGTCCCAAATTACAGGTCTTCCCCAAGGGCTCAAAAGCTCGAAAGCCGAGTGTCGCATGAGAGTCGATCAAGCCTTGGCGGTTCGCCTGCCCAATGCCGGCGCAGCAAAGGAAAGCACCATTCCGCTTGAGGCGGAGGAGAAACCTGCAAGTGCTGGCAACCAGCGCCGAACACTGAATCAAATAATTCAAATTAGCAGTCCAAAAAAAAAGATTCGCACTGTGTTCGGCTTCGCAACATCGACTGCCCCCTGCTGTCCCGTAGAGTCTACATGTGCCACCATCAGATTGCTAAAATCGAAATGCCAACATCGGCCGGCCAGTTGTAGTTGTGTGTGTGTGTGCGCGCGTATTATTTATAATATGCACCACGGCTTTCCCGAAACTGTGCAGCAGTGATGCCACGCACCCTCTAATTTATATTATATGTCTATGCATACAAACATACGTCCATGGAGTCTATATCCCCCAAAACCGGCGAGAAAGCGAATTACGCGTGTGTGTATATATATATATACAT